ATATGGACACTCAGCAATGACCAGCTGGAGGGTGAGGGCTGGGGCTCCCACGGAGGCCGGGGTCTGGGGGTGGCCCTGGATTCGCAACATTCACAGCGTGGTTTCCTGTGCGGGGCGGTGGGAGAGCAGGCCAGGAGGGAAGGCGAGGGCAGGACCCTCGGGAACGTAGGTTCACATGGACGGGGCAGGAGGAGAAAGCGCTGGGCCCGATGGACGTAGCTGCTGAGCAGGGAGGCCGACGAAGCAGCAGCAGAAGGCAACGCACATGCAGGTTCCGAGAGGTGCAGGGCCGGGGGTTCCGCGCGGACCAGGGCGTGACCAGCTGGAGGGTGAGGGCTGGGGCTCCCATGGAGGCCGCGGTCTGGGGGTGGCCCTGGATTCGCAGCATTCACAGTGTGGTTTCCCGTGCGGGGCGGTGGGAGAGCAGGTTTCCTGTGCGGGGCTGTGGGAGAGCAGGCCAGGAGGGAAGGCGAGGGCAGGACCCTCGGGAACGTAGGTTCACATGGACGGGGCAGGAGGAGAAAGCGCTGGGACGGACAAACATGGCTGCTGAGCAGGGAGGCCAAAGGAGGAGCAGCAGAAGGCAATGCACACGCAGGTTCCGAGAGGTGCAGGGCCGGGGGTCTGTGAGGACCAGGGGGGCATGGGGCCCGCGATGAGCAGCAGCGAGGAGGCAGCCAGGGGATACAGCGCAGGCGAGGGGACAAGATGAGGAAACAGATACAGACGGTTGTTAAAGACAAGTTTTGTGTGAAAGAGGGTGGAGGAGTCGCGATAAGGGTGTTGCTGAATGATGAGGTTTTATGGTTCTGTTCTGTTCTGTTCTGTTCGGTTTGGGCTTTTGAGCAGGGATAGCTCCCAAGCTTGAGGTTGGCACGTTCTTGGACAAAGAGGGAAGGAGAGGTGGGCGAGGCCCACAGTGCGGGACGGGGCGCCATCCAGGCCTGGGCGGGGTTGGGTGTTAGAGAGAGCCACCCCTCTGCCCCGCCAGGGGAAGGGGTGGTAAGAAGAAGAGCCACATTTAGGGAGCGCTTACCACTGGCGTGGCATGTGTGAAGTTCGTGTGTGTTAACTGAGTGTATTTAATCCACAACAATTCCACATGCCGCTATTATTAGCATTTTTAAGGCAACTCGAGGTTGAGCATTTAGGGCATCCTACACAGGTCGCCAGGTTGGCAGAGATGTGCCCGTGTATGCCCAGGCGGTCCAGGCCAGAGCCCCCGCCCACACGCAGAGAGAGTGAGCTGGGGAGGCAGGGGGAGGGCAGGGCTGGATCGCAATTAAGTCGTCGAGGGGCGAGGGGTGAGCTGAGCCATCTGCCAAGGAGCGTCAGGGACTTGGGATAATTTCCCCCACAGGCTAGGCTTTGCTGGGGTCAGCTCATGCGGAATCGGCTGTACTTATTTTGCTTTCGATGGTATTTAAAGAAATGAGCTTTCCCCCCAATTATTGACAGAGGGTTATAGATTTAAAGACTCCTTCAGCTCAGACTCAATTGGCCCATTTGTCTAACCTCCCAGAATGCTGGCGTTTGGAGCTGACCGCCTGCTGTGGGCTGGAAATGATCACTGGAGAGGCACATTTTCAGTGTGGGCACTGGGGGGGTCACTCAGGTGGTTCTAAAATGAGGTCAAGCTTATACCCCGCCCTGAGTTGTTTCAGTGGTTCTCAACTTTCTGGCCCGTTACATACAGTTCCTCATGTTGTGACCCAACCATAAAAAATTTTCGTTGCTACTTCTTAACTGTAATGTCGCTACTGTTATGAATCGTCATGTAAATATCTGATATGCAGGATGGTCTTAGGCGACCCCTGTGAAAGGGTCGTTCAACCGCCAAAGGGGTCGTGACCCACAGGTTGAGAACCGCTGCTTTAGATAAATACAAACTGGTGTATAGAGCAATTCCCACAGATCCTGCTAAAAGCCACCAGGCTAGTAAACTCGCTTTTCACTTTGAAAATAGCAATAGTCTTTCAGAAAAATCTGAAAATTATTTTCTCAATTATGTTCATAATTTTAGCAAGAGAAAAAGACGTTGGAGCAACTGAAAAGGGCTGTATTGTTCAAAAGCATCTGTTTTCTATTCAGAACATAGATTTCTGGCAGCTGCGTTCAGAAATTCAGGCTTACAAAGCTGGGAGGTCAAAGGACTCGTTTAAATCTGTTGAAATTTAGCATCTGATTGCAGATCCTGCTTTCTCTCAGTCTCATAAAGATCCCTGTAGAGCCCCCGCCACACAGGTGTCCGTCCTCCAGAAATGACAAAATCGCTGGCTTCATCATGTGTCTGACTGTTTATCCCAACTTAAACCTAAAATACATGGAAAAGCTGTCACATGTTTTAACTTTTATTTTAAAAAATTAGTTCTGAAGAGAATGAAATAGTGCACTGAACATTTACGCCTGTGCCCAGAAAAGCTCACTAGTTATACAGAATAATTTTGTTGGCAGGAAATTCAGCATCCTTATTTTCTCCCCCTGCTTTCCCTGAGGTTTATTATTATTATTATTATTATTATTGAGTTTATTGAGTTTGCTGTTATTAATCTGGTCATTGCTTGGCTTAGAATTGGGTGTAACACAAGTAGAGCCTCAAGCAAAGCATTCTGCTGTGGACGTTTGAATAGCCCGTGGTCAGCAGTCACTGAGAGGAAAGTGAAAGGAGGCCAGGTGGCCTGGGTCTGGCTATTAGACAGTTATCGGGACGCACTGTGTTCACTCATTATAGCAGTGGCTCTCAACCTCGGCTGCACATTAGAATCACCTGGGAATCTTTTTAAAATCCTGATTTCTGGGCCTCATCCTCCGGAAATTCTGTTTCTTTGTTATGGGGTGGGGCCACAACATTAGTAATAAAGAAACAGAATTTCTGGAGGATGAGGCCCAGAAATCAGGATTTTAAAAAGACTCCCAGGTGATTCTAATGTGCAGCCAAGGTTGAGAACCACTGCCTTATAGATTGCTGGATGTTCCATAGCCTGGCTGGCTGCCTCTTCCAGGCATGTCCTGGAGTTCATTGTGTAAACCAAGCTCCGGGTTTCGTCATGGAGCCGGGGCCAATCCGGTTCCTGCTGTGACTTCTGTCATCGCGGGAATGTCTCTAAAAGCAAGTCAAGACGCTGCTGTGAAAGGTCTTCTGTGTCAAAACAGCCAGACAGGAAGCAGCTGGCCACTTAGGCAGATTCCCCAGGACAGATGGGCCTTGTTGGACCAGCGTTCAGAGCCACCCCCGCCAGCCCACCAGGCGGGGACCCATCTATCAGGCGGGGACCCCTCCATCGGGCGGTATCCCCTCCTTCAGACAGGGATCCTCTCCACCAGATAGGGATCCTTTCCATCAGGCAGGATCCTCTCCATCGGACGGGATCCCCTCCATCAGACAGGGATCCCATCCATCAGACAGGGTTCCTCTCCATCAGACAGGGACCCTCTCCATCAAGTGGGGACCCTCTCTGTTGGGCAGTATCCCCTCCATCCGGCAGGATCCTCTCCATCGGGCGGGATCTTCTCCCATCAGGCAGGGACACAGTTCGAGGTGCGATCGCTGCCAGAGACAGCAGTGAGGGGCAGACCACCACCCCTGATGCCTCCATCAGTGTTAGGGTGCGACCCAGCACCTCCTGTCAGATGATCACATTCCCTCCCTCTTTGGGCAAATCTCTATCGGTAACCATTTCATTAATGGAAAAATTTGAGCAAATAGTAGCAAAGAAGAGTTGATGCTCTGGTCTCATTAACCAGTGTCACTCTGCTGTCGTAACCCACGGCAACTGAGAAGATACCTCTTCCTCACACGGTGCTAGGGACGCACTCGGGACAGTGTGGGCCCTTCAGACCATCGAGACGTCATCTTTACAGACGTGCAGGGCGTGCAGTTCACCTGGATAAGACAGCAGATTCTGTTTGATTCTTCCCCTCTCACCCAATAAGCTAATCCTACCTGTTTTGCTTTGATGTTGCTAGTGGGTTATTGCTACTGCTATTCTTTTTAAAATATATATATTTTTATTGATTTTGGAGAGAGAGATAGAAACAACAATGATGAGAGAGAATCATTGATCGGCTGCCTCCTGCACACCCCCCACTGGGGATCGAGCCTACAACCGGGCATGTGCCCTTGACCGGAAACAAACTTGGGTCCCTTCAGTCCGCAGGCTCGCTCTATCCACTGAGCAACACCAACCAGGGCTCTACTGCTGTCCTTAGCTCTGAAATACCACAGCTCTGTTCTGGAAATTCTTACGCACTTAGGTGTCACCCATTTCCGTGGGTCCTCGTCCCAGTTGTAGTAAAGTTCCCTCTAAAGTTTTACTTACAAGCAGGGGTCCTCAAACTACAGCCTGTGGGCCACATGCAAATACAAATATTGTATTTGTTCCTGTTTTGTTTTTTTCCTTCAAAATAAGATATGTGCAGTGTGCATAGGAATTTGTTCATAGTTTTTTTTTAAAACTATAGTCCGGCCCTCCAACGGTCTGAGGGACAGTGAACTGGCCCCCTGTTTAAAAAGTTTGAGGACCCCTGCTAACAAGCGTATACATATTTCATCCTGTTCTTGCCATTATTGCATGCCTTCTTTATATGGTTTTGGAAAACTGTGCACTCACGATCCAATCTTGGTAGCCTCTGCCTCTGCCTGGTTGAGACTTACAGGAGTCCACGTATATGATGTTAGAAGGAAGGGGACCTCCTGAAGCCGGTTGCTGTAGTTATTGAGGGAAACACACGAACGCTGTTGAGCTCCATTCTCTGCTCTCTGCACGGCTGGGCTCCACGTGGAGCCGATGTACAGTGGCTCCTTCTCTCATTCGTGCATGGACTCACTTCATAAGTGCTAATGGCCTTGTAAATGAATCGTGTACGTTTTTTCTTTAAAAGCATGTGTCCTGTGCGTGTGGAATGGGGAGGGGAGCCGTCAGCCTCCTGGGAAGTGCAATGCGGTGGCTGCCGGGTGGGCAGCTTGAGGGCTTCCACAAGCTGCGGGCACAGGCCTCAGCCGGGCCACCTCCAGGCGGCTGGCTTCCCAAATGCCAACGTGAACATGGCCGTTGACGCCAAGGTAGTTTTCCTAACTGTGCACAGGAGCACGAACGACTGAAGGCAGTTGTTTAAAAACACGACTGGAATTAAACTCGGCCAAGTTTGAGCCAATGGTGTAGCTTTAAATGATGTGTTTGTTATATCAGCTTCAGACTAAAGTGAGCTGCTTTCGTGAACATAAGAGTGGAACTACATTCGTACTGATCGCTGACGTACCTCAGCAGATTGTCTGAGGTCGAAGCCCGCGGAGGGGCGGGCCATGCTGGGTGACAGGAGGCATCGGAGGGGCAGGCCATGCTGGGTGGCAGGAGGCAGCAGCGGCCCAGTTTGGGTTGGCTTATTCGGTGATTGGATATGTACACATCTGTCACACCTAGTGCTTTACAGAACCTCTAAAATGCGCGCTTTCTGTCCGTCTCCAGCACCACAGGGCGGTCAGGTGCATTAGCCCCTGAAGGAAACCAAGTCGGACTCTCACTCAGCAGACTCTGACCACCAGGCAGCCCTGCAGGGCACGTGGGGATGCAGACTATGTGCGCAGCGAGAGCTGCCCCTGAAAGGGTGCCCACTGCCCTCCGTGCTTGTGGTAAAATGCTGAGTTCTGTTTCATAAAATGGAGTTAAAATCGCCTTTCCAAGCCCGTCGGGGCGGACAGGAAGTCGGGTCCCTGGGGATGGTCCGCGAGCTGTAAATGACAGAGCCTTTCTCATGGCCAGTCAGTGTGGTGGGGGCGGGGGGGGGGCGGGCACTGCTCTAGCTGTGTGTTAAAGGGGGCTGTTCCCACCCCTCACTCCCAGCTGCACTGACAGGGGCTGCTGGAAGCACAAGGCCTTTATGTGACACCCAACCCCTCCCCATGGAGCCACGCCGGCCCCGGCCCGGGGCTAACGGAGCAGCTGCGTGCTTTCTCGTGGAGTTTGGGCTGGGAGAGTCTGCGTGCAGGGGAGCGGGGGGCATGCGTATGAAGTGTAAACACGTCTGGTGAGCTTACGTCCGATGTGAAGGTCGCGGGGAGTGGGAGGAGGCGAGGTGCCCGCTCTGGGAGGGAAAGCTCTGGATTGGCCGTGGGATTTTATGTCACCTCTTTGCTTCACAAAAGTTTGGAAGTGGAGCGGAGTAGTGACATCCAGCTATTCACAGGAAACCTCGAGGGTTGAGGGAAGTCAGGGGAACGCCTTAAGGGGGGACCCCGTTTACCTGTGCCCTCTCCACGCTGAGCCCCATCAGCTGAGGTGCGGGAGGGGTGGCCGGTGCGGAGAGGGGGGCGTGGGGACTCCTGCCAGTGCCGATCCTGGGCCCCGGCCCCGCACGAAATCTAGGGGAGACCCCGCAGCTCAGCTCTGCAAGTGCCTGCATGCCAAGGCCTTGGCCTCTGTTACTTCCTGGGAGTTGAGCTCTGTGTGGCCTTTCTCAGGAGAAACCGGAAACCCTTTATGTTTGCTTAATCTCCCCCAATTCAAATACCATAACCAGTTTGGTGATTTTTATTAACATCCCGTCTCAGACTAGAGAGGTCAGCAGGCAGCTGTGGGGGCTGCTGTCTCCCACCCGCTGGAGGGCATCTCCGCTGAACTTGGGGTCCTTTACACTGGAGCTGATGGCTCAGACCAAGTGAGGGAATGGGGTTCCCTGCATTCATTCCATAGCCGTCCCTGGTGAGCAGTCACAGCCGCAGCCGCCAGCAGCCACAGTGGAAGCGCAGGTCCCCCTGTGGCCGGGCGACGCAGGAAACCATGTGCCCGTGAACTTCTCAGAGGGAACAGGCATTCCCAGCTGGGTCAGCTCTGTGGCATTTGACCTTTGACCTTTCTGTGGGTGGGAGCTCAGCACCTGGAGAGAGAAGCGGGGGTAGAAGGGAACATGGATGAGATCGAGGGAAAGGAGCCAGGCGCATCGGATGAAGCTGCCGCATGAAGCGCAGTGAAATGAGCGTCGGAGCAACACCAAGGGTGGCAGTCAGAGCGCAGGTCCTCCAGGGAGCAAACCAGCTTCTCGGGCCGCCCAGACCTGAGCCGGGCGCCTGTCTCCCGAGCACACCCAGGGGACGGGGCAGGGCTGGGCACTGGGGCGCCTGCTCGGCTCCAGGGGGAGGAGGCTAACCCCGTCTGGGCTTTAGTTTCTGCACCTGAGGGAGTGTTGCCTGGGAATGAAACGTGAAGCGCTCAGAGCATCGTCACTGCTGCTGCCCCTCAATCCTCGCCCACGGCCCTGGCATGGCCCAGGACGGCCACTCAGAGTCATCATTGGCACAGGCCAGGCAGCCTACAGGGCACCTCCGGAGGCCTGCGTCCTGTTCTGGGCTCAGCCTCCGGGCAGCAGCCTCGCTGCCTCCGCCCGCCTCCTAGATGAGGGTCTCCGTGTGTCCCATTCCCAAGGGAAAGCAGGCGCACTCTTCCCCGCCGTGAAGCCGACGATTGTGAGCCGGGCTTCACTCGTGTCCCCTCCCCCAGGCGGCCGTGGTGCCCTCTGCCCAGACCCTGCGGATCACCGACTTCGGCTTCAGCGACTTCGAGCTGTCGGACCTGGAAACTGCGCTATGCACCATCCGGATGTTCACCGACCTCAACCTGGTGCAGAACTTCCAGATGAAGCATGAGGTGAGGCACATGTGTGTGTGTGTGTGTGCGTGTGTGCGTGCAAGCATGTGCATGTGTGTACATGTATGAGCATGTGTGCATGCGTGTGCACCATCCAGATGTTCACTGACCTCAACCTGGTGCAGAACTTCCAGATGAAGCATGAGGTGGGGGAGCATATGTGTATGTGCGCGTGTGAGCCCCTGTGCATGTGTGTGGGTTAGTGTGTGTGCACACGCGTGTATGCATGTGTGGAAGAGAGAATTGGCTTTGGATGCTGGTGTGAAATGCAGATTTTAAGTTTCAGCGACGGATCTGTCACTCCTATCAGAGAATTTTAAAGGAAACGACCAGCCACTGTGAAGGCATTTATCGGGTTCCCACCAGGTATCCAGCCCCCGCTGTTAACTGGGGGGGGGGGTTTCCCACCCTGGGAGAGGATGTGCAGAGGCGGGTGGGCAGGAGGTGGGGGCTGTGGAGAGCGCTGTGCAGGGGTGAGGCTGCAGGCAAGCACAGGGGGCGAGGGAGGGTATAGACCCCTGTAGGCTGCTCAGAGGAATCAGGATCTTGTCCTGAAAACAGTGGTGTCACCTGGAGTTTGAAGGGGGTGTGACATGTCGGATGGCAAAGGTCACAACCTCTCAGGGAAGGGCCAGGACTGAGAGGGCTCCTGGGGAAAAGGGGGTACAGGGCCAGTGACAGGCCAGCTCTGGGCGTCCCCGGGCCACCGTCTGGGGAGAAGATGAACACAGGATTTTACCACAATGACAACCTCGTTCGCCTCCTGGGAAACAGCAGGACTGGGCGTGTCCCTCGCACCGTCCATGGAGAAGGAGCATCAGGGACACAGAGGAGGGAGGAGGGAGAAGACCTCGGAGAACAAAGTCCAGTCATTTGCCTTCAAGGCATTTGCTCGGTTGGATGTCTGCTCTCCTTGCACAGGTCTCCTCCCTGGGAACGTAAGGACCTCTGAGGCCTCGCTGTTCAGCCGACAGTTAATCATGAAATGCGGTTGATACCGGGACAGTGCGCCCGGCACTGGGCTGGGGCCCGGTCCGCAGTGGGGTCCGCGCTCAGACGCCTGGCCCCGGCTGGACACCCGGCTGATGCAGGGGAGGGTGGGACACATGTCCCTCACTGCGTTACGGGGCTCAACCTCGTTCTCCCCTCAGTGTCCCGGAAGCTGCTGTCACCCTCAGATCAAACAACTATTGGCTGGGTTTCTGCATTTTCCCGGCTTCTGCGGTCAATCCCAGCAATTGCCACAACTCCTCCTTGCAGAGCTTGGAAGCTCATGGCTGTTACAGTACTTAGCCTCCCAACAGGACGAAACTGCCACCTCCTGGCCACTCTGTCTGAGGTGCCAGTTAACACCCGATCCTCTGCCACGTGCGGTGCCTGGGAGGGAGGGGAGGGGCACTTGGTTCCCTGCAGCCTGGGGAGAACAGGGCGGGCGAGAAACCGCAGACCCTCCACCCACCCTCTCCCAGTGGTTCCACCGATGAGAAAACTGTGGTTTGGACCTGCATCTGCAGCATTCTTTCTGGAAACCTCCACTTCCCAGGCAGTGCTCTGTGGCAGAAGCGCCTCCAGCCATGTGTGCAGGGAGAAGCATGCATCTTTGTTCCTTGTCCAGGCTCCCAAGAGCACAGGGAACCACTCAGGATTGAACAGCGGCGACTGGATGCGGAGGCAGTCACAGCCCCGCGGGGGACCTGAGCCCCGGGGGTCCTTGCACACACACCACCGAGAAGCTGAGTGAAACCCAGCTGTGACGTGTTGCTCAGCCGTCTCTCCTTTTTTCGCTCCATCTTTAAAATGCTTTTTTTCATATGGACCTTGGCATGTTAATTGCTTCTCAGTAACCACACAGTCCGTCTGTCTGAATGCCCAAGCTGGTGCAAAAGGGACAAAGAGCTCAGGACGCATCGGGCCAGGTGCTGGAGCGGGACATGTAACCCCTCCCTGTCCCGTCAGCCCCAGCCTTGCACCGAAGCCGTCGCAGCAGACGGCAGGCGCCTGGGGAGGCCTCGGCGGTGGCCGCTTGCGTGGCTGTCCGACCGGGAACTCACACGAGCGGGACTCTCCTAATTGGTGACACGTGGACCTGGTGTCTTTCACAAAGCTAGTCGGTGCCCTCCAGGCCCCCAGGCCTCCTGTACGGCTGCCTTGCATTTTGCACTAATTTAGCGGGTTGGTAGGCAGGGTGGGCTCTGCTGTCGGATGCTCAGGTATGAACCCTGGCCCCTCCCTTAGGAGCCACATGACCTGATCACATGGAGCCACATGTGTGTGTCAGTGTCCTGATCTGTTAAGTGATTACATCCTAGTCCCCCCCGCATCCCCGGAGCCGAGGATTGGGTGTGCTGTGCGCATCGCCCGGGTCACAGTGAGCATGTGACCAACTTCCGCAGTCGCTGTGACACATCCGCTTTCCGCCCGCAGGTCCTCTGCCGGTGGATCCTGAGTGTGAAGAAGAATTACCGGAAGAATGTGGCCTACCACAACTGGAGACACGCCTTCAACACGGCGCAGTGCATGTTCGCCGCCCTGAAGGCAGGCAAGATCCAGGTACAAGTTCTACTATGGAGCCGTTTGCTTAAGACGTTTGGTGGCTTTCGTGGTAAAATTTACAGCACATGCTTTCAAGTACTTTTTTAAATCTGCATTAGTGGTGATTGAGGGTACTGCTTGTTGCCAGTTACAAAATAAATTGTATTTTAAGGAGAGAAGTCTAGTGTGGCAAAATACGTGGTTGATAACGTCCTCTCCTATGGAATGTATACGGCATGTTAGCATAACCTTTAAGTAGCTTCACGCTAAAGTCAAATGGTGCTTGGGAAGGTCAGTATGTCCTTCAGAGGGAAACTACAGCAGCATCCGTCTGCTCACATTTGTGCTGCTCCACACCACACAGGTCCTGAGCGTGGCTCCCTAGATGCGGCCAGGGCCCTGTCGCGGGTTCTCTTCACCCCGTTAACCTTACCAGTGCGTGGACCACACCCTGTTCACAGGACATCAACGCAGACAACGTTCCAGCACCTAGGTCCTTGCCAGGCCTTTTTATGCTTAGCTCTGTCCTTAGATTCCACCATCAGCGGGCACCGACCCGTTATTCTAGGTGAGCGAGTCCAGGCCCCATCACAGAGCTCTTCAGTCCAGAGCTCCCATGCTTTCCCGGTGAGTGTCTTTTGTTGTTGTTGGTAATCCTCACCAAAGGACGTTTTGATTTTTAGAGAGAGTGGAAGGGAGGGGAAGAGAGAGAGAGAAACAGACACATTGATAGGTTGCCTCCTGCACTCATCCAGACTGGGGCCAGGGATAGAACCTGTAACCCAGGTAGGTGCCCTTGAATCTGAACCTGGCTCCTAACTAATTGGCTCATTAGGCCTCTTGTCCAGCTCGCTGGTTTGCGATACAACACTTTGAGTAACAAAGAAAAAGATTCAAAGATAAAGGAAGCATTTCCATTAGTCAAACAGCTTACAAGCTAGTTTTCCCAACACCTCAGAGCCTTCATAACAAATTCATGACAAGAAAACAAAGCAGGGGAAGAGAGCATACGTTCAGTTCACAGAGACCGAGAGGCATGCCCATCCCTGCCATGGGAAGTGTGGGCCTGCGACATCATGTAACTTTTTTCTATATATATATATATATATATATTTTATTGATTCCAGAGAGAGGAAAGGGGAGGGAGAGGGACAAACATCAGTGACAACAGAGAATCATTTGTGGGCTGCCTCCTGAATGCCTCCTAACGGATCAAGCCCTCAACCTGGGTATGTACCCTGCACCAGGAATCGACCCCCGAATCATGGTTCATGGGTCGACGCTCAACCGCTGAGCCACACCAGCCAGGCTATTATGTAACTTTTTAAAGCCAACTTTTCACCCTTAATCCCCTTTTGTGGATTCTTTTGCCAAATATACTCATTGTCTGGTGCCTTTAGGCACAGCCCCTGAGGGCAGAGCATGGAAGCCATGGGAGCTGCAGGAGTTAAAGGTTAAGAGAAGCCGGCGATTCAGAGTTCATGTGCTTATCCCACATGCATACGTAGACCATTAGGAAGGAGTGGCGTTGCCTGTGGGGGACAGGTGGTTGGTGAGGCATTTCCGCCCTCTCCGTGGGTCAGTGACATTGGCGATAGCCCCGCTCTGAGGGCGAGGTGCAGCCCTTCCCCTGTGGAGCGGGCCTGCCGCTACCTTGAAGCAGGCCTGTGTGAAGCGCTGAGATTCACAGAGATGGCCTAGCACCCTTACAGGTCCTTCTCTCTCTCCTCCCCACGCCCGCGGTGTAGAGCAAGTTGTCAGACCTGGAGGTGCTGGCCCTGCTGGTCGCCGCCCTGAGCCACGACCTGGACCACCGCGGCGTGAACAACTCCTACATTCAGCGGTGAGGTGGTCACCCTGCCAGACAGGGTGACCTTTTCAACTGCGGGGTTGTCCTTATTAAAGCAAAACCCACGGCAAAATTGCATTGGTCAAGGTCCAAAATATCAACTGGTTAAGGTCCCGTAACATACTCTGGTTTTATTTAAATACTAGAGGCCTCGTGCATGAAATTTATGCACGGGGTGGGGGGAGGAAAAGGAGGGTCCCTCAGCCCGGCCTGCATTCTCTTGTAATCTGGGACCCCTCGGGGGATATTGGGCCTAAACCGGCAGTCGGACATCCCTCTCACAATCTGGGATGCTGCATGTACCAGTTACCATACTTTTCATACAGGTGAATCTTGCTGTTGTATGGGCAGCTGCATTTTTTTGCCCTGATTATAAAAAGTAGTACAGAACATGATCCTTCTGAGGCAGTGGTGCCATTTTCCCCATCTTACGGGAGGAAAAACTGAAGCAGAGAGAAGTTAAGTAATTGGCTTTGTCACCCAGTTATAAGTGTCAGAATCAGGGCTGACCACAAAATGTGCAAGCCAGAGTCCATGCATGTCATCCCTGCATCATCCTGTTTTTTCAGTGTTAGAGTAGCCTTGCCAGGTTTTAATTTTGAAATCTAGGAGACTGTTCCCAATATATAGGGTAGGGTCCCTATGCCTGGCCGGCGATCAGGACCATATGTGGAGTGACCAGTGAGCGGGGTGATAGGGGGCCCCCGCTGGCACACGCCTTGGCTGGTAGCCTGGTACAACCCGCTGGCTGGCCCCTCCCCCCAATCGTTGCCACTAGTCACCTCCCTCTCTGGGGGGCAGACGCTCAATGCAGGAGCTACCCCCAGTCAGCCGGGGTGGGGGCAGCAGCTCTTGCATTGAGCGTCTGCCCTCTCATGGTCAGTGCATGTCATAGCAACCAGTCGTTCCTCCATTCAGTCAATTTGCATATTAGGGTTTTATTATATAGGATATTTTTATTGATTTCAAAGAGGAAGGGAGAGGGAGAGAGAGATAGAAGCATCAATGATGAGAGAGAATCATGGATCGGCTGCCTCCTGCATGCCCCACACTGGGGATTGAGCCCTCAACTTGGGCATGTGTCCTGACCAGGAATCAAACCCTGACCTCCTGGTTTATAGGTCAACACTCAACTACTGAGCCACACCAGCAGGGCTAGTTTTATTTAAGGGAAATGGGGGAAAATGAAAGTCCAGTACTGTGTTGGTAACATTTCTGGCCTAAAGTGGGAAAATATTTATGTGAGAATCTTATTTCATGAGGTAATTACCAAGAGTTTTGTTTCAGGTTGAATTAGGGCTTCATAGCAGACTTTAAAGACTAGTTCAGAGAAGGTAAGATTCCACCCTAATAGACAAGGTGATGCCGGGAAGGGCCTCTCTCGATCCCGGGCTCCTGAGGGTGCTGTGGCCTCGGGGAAGGTGCAGGGCGCAGCGCAGTGCTGCGGACTCCAGGCTTGGCAGCCAGACTTGGATTAAAATCCTTCCTCTCACACAGTCCCCGTGTGACCATGGGCAAGGGCACGTGCCGCTCTGCACCCCGGTTTCCTGACTTATACATGGAGGTGATCGCATTCCCACCTCATGGGGCTGACGCCAGTTCAGGAGCTAACATGTCACCACCACGGGGAACGCCTGGCTCATGCACAGTGTGAGCAAGCTCCAGCAGCCATGCTGGTGACCGCGTTCTCATCGCAAGCCTGCTTTTCGGCCCATTCTGAGACTAAGATACTAACTCCACAGACAAGGGCTTCAGGTTCCCCGCAGACCTCGCTTGAGGGGCATTTGCAATAGCAAATGAGATGCGAAGGCAACCCACTCACTTCTCGTCAGATTTTTGAGCCACTGCGACATTCTTATTTTCTTGCAGCCACTTAGTCTAAAAGCCTACATTTTAGTGGGAAAACCTCTTAGTGCTGAGCATTAAGTATGCGAGTGATCCCGTGGATGAGTAGATAGATCTCTTAAGGAAATTCCAGATGTCTGCTGTCTTGAGGAATTTCGGGAAGCTCTCTAATCGCATTCCTTTATCTAAATAAATAGACAACTTCATGTAGAAAGAATCAGAGTGATGTAGCAGCCACGTCCTCTGGGGACCTCCGACGGGAGGAGAGAGCAAGCTCCGGCCCCAGGGTCCGAGCCTGGCTGTGTCCTCTTTAAAGTCTAACGTGTGTGCTTTGCCGTGTGGCTGCAATGATGACCTGTCATGACCAAAGGGACAAGACCACCAGGAGCTACAGCCCCTAGCGCGGCTGGAAGATCGCAGGGCCGCACATGCTCTTAGTGTTCAGGTCAGATGCCGCACTGTCCTGTGGAGAGGGAAGAACACGGCCATTTTTCCCTTTGTTTCCACCCGGAAAAACTTCTGGAGAAACGTCATCTTCTCTTTTAAAAAAAAGCCCTGGGAACAGTCACGGATCACAGCCTCTGCTTTCACACTCACCATGAGGCAGACTCCCCCACGTCACAATAACGTCAGTGAAAACCTGAAGGAGGGCCAGAGATGTTTACTTCTTCCTCCATCCCTGTGGTTTGAGCAGAGGGAACCCTGACTTCCTGGGACGTTTCTTTTCTCTGTCCCCAGTGGGAGAGGGGTGATGCCGCTCGTGGGAGGACGAGAAGAGCATTTACATTCCCACACGAAGGACTAGCTTCTGAAAGGTCTGCTGTCCCCACCTCCTCAGATACTCAGACACGATAGAAAGGAACCCAAACCACGGAAGGAGGCGCAGAAGTGAAAGGAACACATCAGAGAGAGAAACGCCCTCACGGGGCAGCACAGTTAGAAACAGAAACTCTGCCATTTTGTTCTCCATCATCTTTTCCGAAAATCAGTTGGAAGCTGTGTTGCAGAATTTACCAGATGACTGAAAAACACACAACGGGTACTCGGAAGTTCAGGAAAAACCCTTTATTTGCAGATGTACTAGCACGGTGACTCAGGGGAGTCCGTTTCCAAAGCCTGAGTGATGAATATGGAGGAACTTTCTTTTTATACCCTTAGTTTCTTTGTCTCCCAAATATGGCTTCCAGACTTTTTGCAGGCTTTGCAGCCCCCATGAGTTGGGATGGGGGAAGTGAGATTACACTTAGAGGCTTGGCCTGTCTGGCGCCAGTGTTGCCAACCCCCTCTGGGGGTTGTATATCGTTCATTGTTTATGGCCTCTGTAAAATGGGAGTATTCCGGGAAACATGTTCTTCAATGCAGAACAGGCATCCTATATAATAAAAGGGTAATATGCAAATTGACCCTAACAGTGGAACGACCAGAACAGCCTGTCGCTATGACACTCACTGACCACCAGGGGGCAGATGCTCAATGCAGGAGCTTCCCCCTGGTGCTCAGTCTGCTCCCACAGGGGGAGCTCTGCTTAGCCACAAGCCATCAGTTGGACATCCCCCGGGGGCACCCGGGCTGCCAGAGGGATGTCTGACTGCGAGCTTAGGCCTGATCCCCTGGGGAGTGGGCCTAAACTGGCAGGTGGACATCCCCCAAGGGGGCCCGGACTGTGAGAGGGCACAGGCTGGGCTGAGGGACCCCTCCCCCACGAATGCACGAATTTTTGTGCACTGGGCCACTAGTCTATATATATATAAAAAGCCAGTGTCCGTGACAACCGTGATGACCAAACGACCAGTCACCATGATGTGCATTGAGCACTTCTCAGTCCCTCCCCCACAGCCATAGGCTCAGATCACAGCAAGGCATATGGCGGGCAGGCGGGGCAGCCAGTACAGCAAGCAGTGGTTGGCAGGTAGGCGGGGCTGCGAGCAGCAGTGGGCTACCATGCACGATTTCGCATGCTGGGCCTCTAGTCATAGGTAAGAATAGAATTAATTATTGGCTAGCCAGAGTGCATCAGAATGCAGGTTACTGGCACAGATTCAGATAGCTACTCCACCCCCAAATGTCTTATTTTCCCTTTCAGCCGAGGCTTGTTTTGATTCATTCTCAGATTCTTTGAGTCCTTCCTGGGTGGTAAAGATGGCCTAGGAGGACCTGGTTCACAGGGAGACCTTGGGGGGGAGGTAGGGGAGTTTGCTCTTGTGATGTCTCCCACGTGGTGGAGGAAGGACAGACGGGTTTCCCGTAGATGCTAAATTATTTTTAAAAACGAGCAGTGGTGGGCACCAGGC